AGCTCTGAGGTCCCTCTGGTTAAAAAACATGCTCAGAGAGCATAAGCAACACAAAAGGGAAAAAATTGCATGTCATCAAAGTTAAATACTTTTGTGCTTCAAAAGACACAAGAAGGTGAAAAGAGAACTCACTAATGGAATAAAATAGTTGCAAATCACATATTTAAGAAATTGTATCTAAAATATATAGAGTTCTTACAACTCAATAATAACAGGTTAACACAATTTAAAAATAGGCCAAAGGCCCAGCTGGTGGCTCAGTGGTTGAGCATCCACCAGTGCACCAAGAGATCGCTAGTTTCCTGATCAGGGCACGTACCCAGGTTGTGGGCTCGATCCCCAGTGAGGGGCATGCAGGAGGCAGCCAGTCAATGTTCTCTCTCATCGATGTTTCTAACTCTCTCCCTCTTCCTTCCTCTCTCTCTAAACATCAATAAAGAAAAAATAAATAAGTAAAAATAGGCAAAAGATCTGAATAGACGTTTCTCCAAAAAAGATATACAAATAGCCCTGGCTGGTTTGGCTCAGCGGTTAGAGAGCATCGGCCTGCGGTCCAGAGAGACCCAGGTTCGGTTCCCACTAAGGGCAGGTACCTCGGTTGTAGTTTGTCCCCGGCCCTGGTTGGGTCGTGCAGGAGGCAGCCACTTGATGTGTCCCTTTCATGTTGATGTTTTTCTCTCTCTCACTTTCTCTCTCTCCCTCCCACTCTTATCTGAACAAAAAATGGAAAATTTGTCCTTGGGTGAGGATAAAAAAAGAAAAAAAAGATATACAAATAGCCAATAAGCACATGAAAATATTGACATCATTAGCCTCAAGGGTGCTAATGTAAACCACAAGGAGATACATCTCACACCTACTTAGGAGGGCTATAATAATAAACAACACAAAATCAAAAACCAGAAAATAGGCACTGACAATGATGAGAGGAAATTGGCACCCTCAGCAGTCCAGCAGTTCCTTAAATGGTTAAACATAGAGTTGCCATATGTCCAGCGATTCCACTCCTAGGTATTTCCCAAGTAAAATAAGAAGTGTCCAACAACACGTATACAAATGTTCATTGCAACACTATTCACAGTAGCCAAAAGATGGAAACCATCTAAATAGGCATCAATTGAGAAATGGATAAATAAAATGTATTTCCACACAATGGAATACTACCCAGTAGTGAAGAGAAATAAAAGTACTGACACTTGCTACAACATGGTCAAACCCTGGAAACATTATTTTGAATGAAAGAAGCCAATCACAAAAGACCACATATTGCACACTTGGATTTATGTGAAGTGTCCAGAATGGGCAAATCTATAAATTGAGAATGTAGACTAGTCATGCCTAGGATTGTGGAGATGGAAGGATTGGGGAAGTAATAGCCAGAAGACATGGCGTTTCTTTTTTTTTTTTTTTTTAAGCCCTCACCCAAGGACATTTTTTGATATTTTGTTCAGATAGAGTGGGAGGGAGAGAGAGAGAGAGAGAGAAACATCGACACGAAAGGAACACATCGAGTGGTTGCCACCCACATGACCCAACCAGGGCTGGGGACAAACTGCAACCGAGGTACATGCCCTTAGCAGGAACCGAACCCGGGTCTCTTCGGACCGCAGGCCAATGCTCTAACCGCTGAGCCAAACTGGCCAGGGCGACATGGCGTTTCTTATTGGGGGCAGAAAAATGTTCTAAAATTGCCTGTGGTAGTGATTACACAACTCTGTGAACATAGTTAAAACCCTTGAAATGTACACTTTCATGTGTGAGTTGTATGGTATGTGAATTATATTTCAATGAAGCTGTTATAAAACACAAACCTAGCCCCTCCCCCCACTCCCCACCCCCGACTCTCAGACCTTGGTCAAGTCTTTCTGAGCTTCAGTTTCCTCAGCTGTAAAACAGGGAAACTGGACTTCATCAAGGTCAGGAAGGGCCTCCAGTCATATAGACCAAGGGCCCAGTCTTGGCTCAGCTGCTGACCCACAGTGTGCCTGGGACAACTGACTTCCTTTTCTGGAGCCTCCGTTTACTCATCAGTGGGGTGGGAATAAAATGCCACCACTTTGAAAGGAAAAAGGATCAGGAAGAAAGACCTTGGCTTTTGAATCAGGTAATTCTAGGTTGAATCCCAGCTGTGCCATTTACTGGCGGTATGACTGGTGGCAAGTCACATCCCTTCCTGAGCCTGTTTCCTCATCTGTGAAATGGAAGGAATCTCATCAGCTAGACAGGGTGGAGGAGAGGAGGGGGGAAGGGGCTGGACATGGACCTGCAGACCTCATCACCCTCCAGCAGCTGCGGGGTAACACCTGGCACTGTGGTGGGGACCCCCACGACCTGTTTGGGCTAGGGGTGAAATAGTTGGCATATTGGCTCCATCAGTATTTATCCAGCACCTGTATATTATGTGCCCCTGTGCTAGGTTCTGGGATCCTGATGGGCTTCTTGGCAGGGCTGGGGACACTCAGTGTGAGTGAGCTGTTAGTCGGTGTCAAGTTCAATACCCATGGGTCCTCCTCTCCCCTTCTCCCTGGCCTCCAGCTCTGCACCTGCTGTCCATGACCACCTGGACAGCCCTCCACCTGGGGCTTTATTTTGCCCATTCCATACAGGCAAAGCTGTGGCTCAGGTCAGAGTGGACTGAGCCTGGCTGTGTTCAGCAGCCCATGATGTGTCCCAACCCTCTTTTTTCACCTTTAACTTCCCTGGCTGTTAGAGATGATTCTTCCCAAAAGGGGAAACTGAGGCTAGTCACTGAAGAGGGCAGGTTTGAAATCAGGATCCAGGCTCTGACCTCATGTGTAGTCCTCTTCTGCTTGGAAGTCCCCAGTATGTACGTCTCCCTCTCCCGAGCCACGGACAACAGGATAGGGAGGCAGGCTGGCCTCCCACTGACGCAGCCCATCCCAGGCTGGGCCGCCTCACATCCACTCACCTGTCTCTAACCACAACCCTGGGGACTTTGCTCTTCGCAGGAAAGGAAACAGCTGCTGGTCCGTCCCTTGGCTCAGGTCCCTCAGCTGGAAAATGGCAAACCCTGGACTCCCACCTGGGCTTCTTGGGCGCCAAAGCCTGAGCCACGAACCACAGACCACCCTACCATAGGATGTCCTGGGCACCAGCTACATCCCGGGCCTCAGGATGAGCTCCTTGGATGTCCATGGCCCACCCACTGGACTCCACCAGACCCCACCTCCCACCTTGACTGCTCGGGACGCTGGGAGGTCAGGGTCATGGCCCCATTTCGCAGGCTGGGTAACAGGGTGAGACCGGCCAGACACATGCAAGGGTGGCGTGCTAGTTTGGGTCCTGAGCCTTTCCAACCTGGGACTCTTGACTCCCAAGTAAACCCTTAAGTCCCATACACAGCCCAGTGAGGCTGACGAGACTGTCTTCACAGAGGTGGGGTGGGGGCTTCACCGCCAGAGGGCTCTGTCTGCGTCCCACATGGCCCAGCTCTCAGGGGTGGATACTACTTGGACTTGGGGCAACCCTCTGCCCAGCAAAGGCAGGACGGGAGGGAAAGGCTTCAGAGCCGGAAGTCCTCCCCCACCCTTCCCCTGACCTGCGAGAGCAGCTTAATGTTTCCATATAAAGGAGACAGGGCTTAAGGTGCCTTAACTTGTGTCAAAGTCACTGTCTAATCTGAGGCCAAAAAGCTCCGCCCCCAGGTCCAACCTCTCTCCCTTCCTCCCGAAAGAAACTGTCACACTCTTCCCGAGACCCTGGGTGTCTCCCCCTCCCCCTCGCCTCCCAGTGGGGTCTAGGAAGCTGGCTGGAAGGAAGAGACTGGGCAAAAGACAAGGATGCAGAACTGAAGATGAGCAGGAAGAGAGGGGTGCTGAGAGGGAGCCCGAGAAAGAGGGAGGAACAGAGATGGGGGTGGACAGAGACCCAGAGGGAAGGGTACAGGGACCTAGAGAGAGAGAGAGACAGAGACCCAGACAGGGACAGACCTAGAGAGGGGGACAGACACCGGGGGACAGGAAGAGGGACAGAGGGACAGAAACAGGCAGATGGCGAGCAGTTGGGAAGGAGACGTGGAGAAGGTGTCTTAGGAAATGGAAAGACAGGGAGACGGAGTTGTGAAGACAGAGACCAATGGAAGACAGAGACAGGGCAAGAAAGAGGACCCGTTGAGATGGATGGGGGTGGGTGGGCGGGCAGGGAAAAATAGCAGAAAATGTCCATGGGGTCAGAGTTGGAAGCACCGAACTTGAAGGGAGAGATTGTTCTGGGGCCAGACTGTCACTGAGTATAAGGCAGGACCTCTCCAAAGGGGAACAGCAAGGATGGAGCGGGGATGTTGGGGTAGGGATGCCCAAGCAAGGAAAATGGGGGGCGGGGAGGGTGGCCCTCAGCCCTAGGAACCCTGCCCCGGCCTCTGCATGGAGCACATACCTGATGGGGCGGCCCACCCCCATGCCCTCCACTGGGGGCTCCTCTGCGGGTGCTGAGGGGGCTGCAGTCTGTCCTTTGCCCCAGGGGCCTTGTGCCGGGCGCCCGACCTCTATGTCCACAGGCGGATCAGAGGCCTGGCCCGAGGGGGGGGCAGGAGGTGGGGCCAGCTCAGAGCCGCAGAGGGGGAGCCAGGGAGAACGGCCAGGCAGGCTGCTGGGCTGTAGCCCAAGCAAGCTGGAGAGATGGTGGCAGGGACACAGAAGGGGGAGGGGGCAGGGACAGAGGGTGGGTGCCAGGAGACGCAGGAAGATGGGGACACAAATGGGGCAGAGAAAGGGGGACACACAGATGAGGTAACAAAAATGGTGAGATTATGATAAAGGGGACAGTGATTGAAAGAAATGGGGGGGGGCTCCCTGGTTCCCCAAGATGAGGCTTTAAAAAGTTGGAGGTCACAGGTAAGATACCCCCGAGACTGGAGGGAGTTCCCGATGGAATGAAGTGTGGGAAGGCAGAGCGGCTAGTTCCTAGGGGGCTGAGGGTGGGAGCAGGAGCGATCTCCCCGGGAAGTGGCCAGGAGAACCAGTCTCACACATCGGGCCTATTCTGTTCTTTATTGTCTCCGCCCCGACCTGCCTCCCTCCACAGTGCCGGCCTTCAGCACAGAGGGGAGGAGGCCCACACAGCCCCGCACTGGGGAGCCCTGGCCAAACCCAGGTGGCGGGAAGAGAGGGGCAAAACCTGATCCTGCTGAGGTCAAAAGGTCAAGCCAAGAGCCACAGCTGACACAAAATCCACAGCAACTCCGGCCACACCAGGCAACCTTCCAGATGGGCTAACGGAGTCCTCTGAAGTGGGGGTGTCAATGGGCTAAACCAAGTCTTTGGGTGGGTGGGCTCACTGGAGTGAAACCCAGTGGTCTTGGAGGGCCATGAGCCAACCAAGTCCTCTGGTCAGAGTGGTTTTAGAGCTATGGCTCAGACCACATCCTTTGGCAAGAGGGGTCACCGGACCAACCAAGTCCTTTCAAAGACCAAGTCGAACAGAATCCATCATGGTGGCCAAGGAGCGGGAAGTCCTTCCTTCCTATGGAGGGGGCCTGGTCAACAGGTCTGAGTGAGTCCCTTCCAGGGGAACCAACTTCAACCTCAGTTCCCAAGTGCAAGGCCAGGCCAGGTGCTGCCAGACTGCCTCAGACACTGACGGTGCGGAAGACGGTGAAGCCCGACAGCGCGGTGCTGACCAGGACCCCGGGGCACTGCGGGTGCCAGTGCAGCTCCTTCAGGTCTGTCTCGCCCTGGTGCACAAACAACAGCTGCTGGGGGAGGTCCGCCAGCCCGGGCTCCGTCTCCAGGTCGCCGGCCTCAGGGTCCCGCTCCACTGCCAGGTCCCACTGTGTGATCTGGTTGTCTGCACCCGAGGCTGCGAAGACCCCACTGTCCTGGGGGTGCCACTCAACGGAGGTCACAGGGGCCACGTGCTGCTTGAAGGTGGCCACCGGGGAGCCAGACTGTGGGAAAACAGGAGTCAGGGGCCTTGAGTGCCTCAGCCTGACTCCTGGGGTACCCCAGGCAGAGCCCCCACAAGCCCAGATTCTCTGAAAAGAACAGAGGGCAAAGTACAGCTGGTAATAAAGGCACAATTCCCAGGGGCTGCTGGGAACTGTGGTTTCGCCTGCAAAGAAGCCCCTCCCAGGAAGGAGTGGTTCTCCAAGGGGTCTCCCCACCGATCCCAGGGCTTTGAAGGGGGCAGAAACACAGCTCCCAGGCCCCAGAGCAGCAAAGAACAAAGACACTTCCAAAACAGGGGTGCTGCTGGGGATGAAGTCTCTCTAATGTGGACAAGTGGCTCCAAAGTTCCAATGATTAATCAACTCGGCCATTAATCAACACCTGCCTTGGGGGCTGGACTCCATTTCTAGAAGCTTCCCAAGGCTGACTATAGTGCCCCTTACACTAGAGGGGAAAAACGATTACAGTACAGTGGTCCTGGGAAGGCACGGAGCCACAGGAAGTTAGGGCTTTGTTCAGAGGGATCCTGATGTGGCAACTTCTGCCCAGCACCCCTCTCAGCTCTAGAGTCAACGCTTAACTGGGCCACAGTGTCATGTCTGCTCCTGTCCCTATGCCTCAGTTTTCCCTCCTGCAATGAGTGAGCCAGGCTCTGAGTCTCAGCTGATTCTATAAAACTCATTGGAAAAAAAGAAAAGTACAGCTCCCTGAGCCCGAGCCCCCAGTGGCGCAGCCAGCCGCACAGCCGCCCGCCACCGCCCGACAGATGAGAATTGCAGTCTCTGGTGCCACCGAGCCTCTTCCAGCTCGTCAGCTCTCCAGCTGGTGCAGTGGTGGCTGCACGTCAGCTGCAAGCCAGCCTCTGCTGAGCCCGCTTCCCCATCCGTAGCCAGAAGCGACTGCAGCCCAGCGCGAAGGGCTTCCCCAGCTCCGGAGTGTACCACCACCCCAGGAGGGCACACCCACAGATCCTAGTGGCTTCCCAGCTGGGAAAATACCTTGAACTGCCGCAGGTCCCAGACCTTGAGGGCCCCATCATCCCCACCGCTGAGCAGGAAGGGCTCCCGGTGGCTCCAGTTGATGACATTGACATCCCCATCGTGGGCGGTGGCGGTGGTGAGCATGCAGGCCTTGCTGGGGGCTGCCCGGATGTCCCAGATTCGAATGGAGGCATCAGCTGAGCAGGAGGCGAACACCTGGAAGAGGAGTCTGAGCGACCAGGGGCTCCCCACACCCCACTTGAGAACAGGTACTAGTAGTAGACCCCTCACTAGGACCTGCCCTGGCCCCCTCCTCCCTTCCAGACCCAGGAGTCCAGGCCCTAGTCCTCCCTCACCGTGTCCTCGGTCGGGGACCACTGCAGGTCCTCCACGGAGCGTGTGTGGCCCACAAATGGCCGCTGGTCTACATGCCAGGAGCCACCATCCGTAGGCGTCCAGAGGTGGATATTTTTCTGACAGTCACCAGTCAGCAGGCGCCCTGGGGAAGGGAGTCAGGACACTTCCTGGTCCCAGCTGCTCCCTTCCCTAGAGTCTTAGCACCCACCCCTGCTGCACACCCTGCTCCCTCTCACCTCCTAGGACCAAGTGCACACCGCAGAGACTCACCGGGCACACGGGGGGACCAGTCCAGTGCAAAGCCCTCGCCCATATGGCCAGCGAAGGCGAAGATAGGTTTCACACGAGCCTGCTCGTCCCGGAGGAAGGCTGCCAGGGCCTGGGGGTCATCAACCACCTGCAGAAGCCGCCGCAGTGCAAACACCTCCACCTGGCCCTTCTCTGACCATACCCCAGCCACCGGCTCCTCGCCCAGCCAAGATACCTATAGGGGAAAAGGAAGGGGAGACGAGTTGGGAGGGTCAGGAGGCTCTGGGTGGTGACCACAGTTCCTTGTATCCCTGAGAACCAGGACTGCAGTTCCTCAGACAGCCCATCTTCAGGACCAGGACTGCAACCCCCAGAAACCTTGTGGGAAAGGACCACAGTCTGCAAGACCAGCTTGATACCTGGGACAACTCCCCAGCCAGTGGTAGAGGTAGTGGTGGTGGGAGAACAAACCCCTTCAAGACTCCTGGGAATCAAGGCTGTAATCCCATCAGACTCCTGGTCTCTGTTATCTTCCAAATGCTGGACAGGCACAGGCCTCAGCCCTTAGTCCATCTGCTCACACGAGATCCATTCAGCCTCATGGTTTCCAGCAGCCCACAGCCCCAACCTCTCTCTTGAACTCCAGACTCGCATCACACCGACCATTCAAACCTCACATGATCAAGGCCAAGCTCCTAACTGCCGGCTGTATCCTACTCCTCCCCAAACTGTCTCTCCCTCACACCCACCCCCATTCTGGTTCCATTAAAACTGCACCTCTTCCAACCTTCTTATTACCTCCACTGTTGTCGTGCACATTACTACTGATGTCATCCTTCCCTTGAACTACAGCCTCCTATAGGCCTCTGTCCTGCCCTTGCCTCCCTGCAGCCTATTCTCAACACAGCAGCCAGAGGGATCCTTTTAAAGCACAGGTCAGATCCCATCTTTCCTCTGCGCTAAACTCTCCAATGCCTCCCAATTTGTCCCAAGTAAAAGCCAAGTCCTTACAATGGCCTACAAGGCCCTAAACAATCTGTCTTGTCCATGCCCACCCCTGCAATCTTGTCACTACTATCCCACGCCCATTCTGCTCTTAACACACTGGTCTCCCTAGTTTCCCTCAAAATTTCTCAAACATGGTAAGTTCACCCCAGGGCCTTTGCACTTGTTTCCCTTGCCTGCAAGATCCTTAGCTTACTCCCTCACTTCCTCTCGGTCCCTGTTTATTTTATTTTATTTTATTTTTTTATCCTCACCCGAGGACATTTTTCCATTTTTTGTTCAGATAGAGTGGGAGGGAGAGAGAGGAAGAGAGAGAGAGAGAAACATCGATGTGAAGGGACACATCGAGTGGCTGCCACCCGCACGACCAACCAGGGCCGGGGACAAACTGCAACCGAAGTACGTGCCCTTAGCGGGAACCGAACCCGGGTCTCTCCGGACCGCAGGCCGACGCTCTAACCGCTGAGCCAAACCGGCCAGGGCTCGGTCCCTGTTTAAATGGCTCCTTATCAATGACTACTTCCCAGACCACACTATTTAAAATAGCAACCCATCACCCTCACTGGGTTGCTCAGTTGGTTGGAATGTCGTCCCATACATGAAAACGTTGCAGGCTCAATTCCCATCAGGTCAAACACCTAGGTTGCAGGTATGATCACTGGTCAGGATTCATATGAGAGGCAACCAACTGATGTTTCTCTCTCATATCTATGTTTCTCTCTAGTTCCCCTCTCTCTAAAAGTCAATAAAAACACATCCTTGGGTGAAGATTAAAAAAATAATACAATAAAATGAAATAAAAAATAGCAACTCATCCAGGAACACCCTAAACCCCATACCTGACTTTACTTTTCTCTACAATACTTAGCACCTTTGACATAGCACAGATCTACTTAGTTTGTTTTTGTTCCCTTCTCCACTAGCATGTAAGTTCATGCAGCCAGACCTTTTGCTTCCTGTTAAATTACCAGGGTCTAGAACAGTACCTGAAACATGGTAATATTTTAATGTAAACACACAGCAAGAACTACAAGCGAAACACTGCTCTAAGTGCTGTTTACATGTCATCTTGTTTAATTCCCACATCAACCTGATCAGAAGATGCTATAATCCTGAACCACAAAAGTAACCCCACAGCTCAAAAGAGTTCCTGAAAACTAACAGAAAACACATAAACACTCACACTACAACCAGGTGCTGTTTCTAAGCACCTAAATAACTACATGTCAGTTATTGGAATAACTGTATGTTATTCCATTTTATCCTTACATCAGGCAAATTTTTACAGAAGAACATAAAAAAACAAAAACAAACCCACAGCACTTAACACCCAGTGACAACTCGGAATAGCTAAGACATATATAAACTAACATATAAAATTATGTGCCTGACGCTTTCCCAAAAGCTGATGGGTGTGAAGAGGTGCTGGTATGGACATGAGGGGTAGGGGTGTACTCCAGAGGATGGAGAGCAGACTCCTTAGACTGTTATTTACCCGAACTCGGTTGATGCCACCATAGTGGGGCACCATAGCCAGCTCCAGCTGAGGCTTCCGCTCTTCTTCATCCTCTTCATCTTCTTCCTCCTCTTCCTCACTGCCCTCTGATGGTGGGGGCTTGGTTCCATGCAGATTGTGCATCCGAAGCATCATTAATCTGGGGGAAAGTGTGATGTGACTAAGCAAGGCGCTGGATGTCAGGATTCTTAGGAAGAAGGGAAGCTGGAAACCCCAACTTCTGGGTCCGAGGGAGGCAGAAGCTGGAAGTCCTATCTCCTGGGTCCTGTGGAAGGGGGAGCTGGAGGGTGACTCCTGGATCTTGAGGCAGTAAGAAACTGGGGACTTGGACTCCTGGTCCTGGGAAGGTCTCCAGTCTCACTCACTCACCTGTTGCTTTGGGCGCTCTCTGCCTGGGTCCCAGCACACAGGTAAAGTGTAAGAGGAAGCTCTGTGCGATTGTCTCCCAGGTGATCCCGGACTATGTCAAAGCTGAGACAGGGGGCGCCTGGGGAGGGAAGGAGAGGTGGTCAGGTTATGGTGGGGCAGCGGGATCTCAGCCCCCTCCAGTGTGATGTCACCCTTCTTAGACCCCAGTCTTCTCTTCCAGTGCGCCTCTTAAGTTAAAGGCTCAGGACCCAGGATTCCACCTCCCTCCTTCCTCGGGGCCCAGGCGTCCGGGTGCCCAGCCCTACCGGTCTGCGCTCGGTGGTACAGCACGTAGGCCTCCTCGTCCATGACCAGCTCCTCTCCTTCGCGCAGCGGCGGTCCCCGGCCGGGCAGGTAGACCTGAGCCGGGCCCTCGGACCCTGCGTCGCGGGACTCGGCCTCCATGGGTTCGTCGGTTTCACACGTGCGCCGCCGACCCTTGCGCGCCGCCATCCTCGAAACCTCTCACCGTCGGCGCGAGGTCAGACGTCACTTCCGGGCTGCGCTTCCCCCGCGCCCCCTCCCCTTCGGAGACCCGCCAGGCTGCGCGGTTACCTTGGAAACTTTCTAGTTCACCAATTAGCGAGGGCGGCGGGGAGAGGGAGAAGGGGAGCTACGCTAACGGCGTCCCGGTTTAGCCACGGAGGCCTGCGGTGCTTGCGGGAAGACTACCCGCTCCGCGTGACTTTGGGACGCTCTTCCGCGGAGCAGTGGCAAAGCCTCCTGGGAGTTGTAGTTCTCTGGGAGGCCTGTGTTCCCATCACCTAGAGGAGCTCCAAGCCTCCACTCCCTTCTCCACCTTTGACTCCCAGCGTTTTCTTTTAGCTTGGACGATTATTCATGTATGCAAATAAGAGCTCTTACTGACAAGGAACGTGGGTTTTTGTTCTCTGAGGACCCATAAAGCCGATTTTTTTTCCCCCTTCCTTGTGATAATGGTTTTCGTTTACTTCAAAATGCTTAACGTAAACAGGATGATATTACGCCTAAATTAGTCGGTTGAATCTAGTCTCCTGGGGCAGTCGATTGCCTAACCAGGACTTCACATTGCAGTTGTGGTCAGTGAGCACTTAATCAGAAAGTCCACCCTCTGGAGGCAGCTATTACAAGTGCTTCGATTCTCTTTATCGCCCATCAGCACCAGAGGTTTGGCTAATTGGCATAATGAAATGTTAGAAATAGGTTCTCATTGGTGAGATAAACGGTATTCAAGATATGTGGATTGGCTGGAATGTATTAGACACTCTCCTCGCTTGCATGAACAGGATATTAAGAATCTTGGAAACCTCGTTTCCTGTAGACATAGGAATGGGGCTCTAAAATGGTTTGATCCTGGATCTTTCCTGAGTTCTCTTACCCCTACATCTCTAGGCTTCTGTCCACCCTGCCCCTTCTCAGCCCCTCTCTTCTTAGGATATTTTTTCACCTCCTCTTTCTGGGTCTTTGTCACCCACCTCCCACCAGGGTCTCTGTTCTCGCTCTAATTCTTTCCGCCCCTTCTTTCTGTGGGACTCTTGTGTTTAAGTTTCCTGCAGAGGTTTGAGAGGGGCTAAGAGACAGACACAGAGCTCACGCTTGGACTGAGGAGGCATAAAAACATGGTTTATTCCAAACACTGCAATGTGGAACAGGATAGTGGGAAGGAAAGTTGGTGGTGAATGTGGACTCCCAGACCCTCCCCTCCACAACCCAGCTCCAGACCCGGCTGGAGACCTGGGAAGAGGAGGCTTTGGGGGTTCTGCTGGGTCATCACTTAAGGGTCATAAGTAAGGGTTGGATTTAGAGAGGGTGTGTTTGGTGGCACCTGGGGCTGGTAGTGAGGTGCGACAGGGTGGTAAGTTTTGGCCCCTGCAGGTTGGGATAAACGCTGGGACGAGGGAAGGCGGGGCTTCTGTTAGGGGCGTGTCCTATGTCAAAATAGGGAAATGTGACCCGGGGTGGAAAAGGAGGGGGTGTCCCGGTTTGACGTCGAGGGTCACAGTCTGGTCGGGGCACAGTCTGGGGTTCGGGTCACAGTTTGGGGTCAGAGGTCACAGTCTGGGGTCGGATGACCATTTGTAGGGGTCGGAAGTCACAGTCTGGGGTCAGGGGTTTCTGTATGGCGGGGCCAAGGTCTAGGGTCACAGTTTGGCGAACGCGTCTCACAGTTTTGAGTCCCGATGGATGAAAGGTTAAAAACGGGCTTCCCCGGAGGCGTGGCTGGGGCCGGGGAGCTGCACAGTGATGTGGGGGCCACGGCCCCGGGCGTGGGGGTGGGGCGCGGGCGTGGCGCCCGCCCCATCTGGTGACGTTAAAAAGCCCTTATCGGGTTTTAAAAAAAGTCCAGTGGGCTCCAAGACCTCCACCCCCTCGCTCTCAGGCTGGATGAGATTCGGGGACCAAATTCCCTCTGGCTCACGGTGCCCCGAAAACGAAGGGGCACAGGACGCTGCTCCAGGCGGAGTCCGGCCAGTTCCACCTTTTCCTTTCCCATCCCACGCGGGTCCTGTCCACTGCGCGTGCCCCCTCGGGCCGTGGCCTGCGCTGACCGAGGGGGCCCCCGGGGCCGCGTCATACCTCGGACTCGAGGCTGGAGAAGTGCGCCGACCCCCGGCGGGTCCCCAGGTCTCCTCCCCGGTGTCTCCGGTGGGACGTGGCGGGCAGCGGCGGCCCCCAGTGCGCTGCGTGCAGGCACCGGCGCGCGTGGCGGGAGGGCCCGGTCAGCCGGCGCGCAGGGGCGACACGGGGACACGAGCTGAGGTCCTCGAGCGAGCGAGAGGTGGGCGCAGGCGGCGGGAGGTCCCAGCCCCCCGCGGCGCGGCGGTGCCTGTGGTGGTGCGGAGCAGGGGGAGCAGGCATGCGGTGCGAGGACCGCTGGCGGTGCGTGTGCGGCCGCGGGCACCCGCAGCGGGCCCGGCGCCTCGGCGGGGGTCCCGCGGCCCAAGGCGGCGGCGGCGGCGCCCACCAGCCGCCGTCCAGGCCGTCGTGTGAGCAGCTGAGGTGGCGCGGAGGCGGCAGCAGCTCCAGGCTGGCGCAGTGGCGGCAGTGCCAGGCGGCCGGGCCGCCGCGCGGGGGCAGGTAGTCCCAGCTGCCGGCGCGCCAGCCCCCGAGCTTGTCGACCGACCAGTAGCGGCCGGGCGGTGGCCCGAGGCGCTCGGCGTACGGATAGGGGAAGTCGGCGAACCACCAGGGCTCCAGGCCGCCCAGCGACGCGCCGCCCAGGCTCTCCGAGTCCTCCGAGTCCGACGGCGATGGTTCGAGGTCGAGGTACGGGCAAGGGGGCGGCGGGGCGCGGCACGGCGGGGGCGCAGCCTGGGCCCCTACGCCCGCCCCTCCGGCACCAGCGGCGCCCCCCACGCCGGGTCCCAGCAGGGGCTGGCTCTCGGGGTCAGAGCGCGGCCAGCGCGCGGGCGCCGGCGGGCTCTCGTCCTCGTAGGCCAGGCGGCAGAGCGGCGGCCCGACGGCGGTGGCCGCGGCGGTGGGGGGCGCGGGCGGCGACGGGAAGCCTGGGTAGGCGCCGGCGGAGGGCTCGGCTGGCTCTTTGTCCCGCACGATGGCAAAATAGGAGGGCGGTGGCTTCTGCGGGGGCTGCGCCCCGGGTGGGGACAGCGGGCGCCCCGCCGAACCCCGAGGCGCCGTGCGCGCCTCGCCCACGCCCAGGCCCTGGGGCTCGATGGGGCCGTAATAGCGGTGGAAGCCATCGGCCAGGCCTGCGCCCCCCGGCGGCCCGGCGGCTTTGGCGCGGCGCCAGCGGTCCACCGCAGCGCGCTCGCGGGGTAGGAAGGGTGCGGGGCCGGGCGCGGGACGCGTCGGGTACGCGGGGCTGGGCAGTGGCTGGGGTGGAGGCGGGGGCTTGGCGGGCGGCGGGGCGGCTTCAGCGCTGCAGCAGCTGTACATGCCCTGCAGAGGTCGTGGAACAGGTGGGGTCAGAGCAGTAGGCCCGGGGCCGCCCACCCCCCAACCTCCCAATCCCTTCCTCCTTTCCCACATCTTCGCCTGGGTCTCTTCCACTCCTAGGCATCCCTGCCAGTGTCCACCTATCCGTCCCCATCGCCTCCCGCTCCTCCCCGTACCCTGGAGAAGGCCAGCAGGAAGTCCATGCGGTGGGTGGGCCCCAGGCAGTGCCGCAGGCGCCAGTACACCAGGTGCTCCCAGGCGAAGACCAGCAGGGAGAGGCCCATGGCCACCAGGAGCATGTAGAAGACACCTGCCATGTTGTCGATGTCCAGCTTGCTGCTCATCACCTCGATTTTGTCATTGTGGCAGATCCCGGAGAGCCACAGCCGCTCCAGCATCTCGATCTCATCTGGGGGAAGGGGGGAGGCAATCAGAGGTCACCTTTTGTGGTTGTCCCTTGAGGACCCTCCTCTCTGATATAGGAGTCTAGGCCCCAGCCCCTTCCTCCCTCAGACCCTGGTACCCTGGTCCTCATACCCTCCTTGCATGGGACCCAGGGCTCGCCCCCTCCCCCAGGCACCCTTTGCAGCCGCACCATCCCCCAGGAACTGCAGGAGCGCCAGGTCGATGGGCCGCTTCCAGCGGGAGCCCTTGTGCAGGGCGATGCCATAGCCTGTGGTAGCAAAGACCTTGCCCGAGCCGATGGTGACGAGCTTGCAGCCTTCATCCTTTCGGGCCATGTAGTTGAGCACAGCAGCGTCATAGATGAAGGCGTCCAGCTTCCTGGGGGCAGGGGGCATGAAGGGCAGGGTCAGTCCCACCCAGATGCCCTTATAGCCCAGCGGGGAACCCCCTGCTGCCCCTAATCAACAACTGCTCCAGTCACTAACAACTTCTTGAGCAAGCTGCACCTCTTTGTGCCTCAGTTTCAATATCTGTAAAATGGGGATGACAGCTATGTTTCCTTTGGGGTTGCCGCAAAAGTTGGATGGTGCTCGGTGCAGATCAAGTGCTGGAGAAATGTTAGCTGTGACTGTTAATAAAATAATTACTTGTTTATAATCCTCACCTAAGCCCTCCAAAGGAGCCTTATATACTCCTCTATTTTAAAGAGGACCGAGGCTCAAAAACGGAATCACATAAATAATAATGCAATGTTAATGATCGCTAATGTTGTGCCAGGCACTGTCTGTCTACGGAAATAACTCATTGAATCCTGGTAACATTCCCATAAGGCAGAAACTATTGTCTCTATTATTCAGACCAGAAAATGCAGGCCCAGACACACCATCTTAATTTGCTTGCAGTTGCCCATGGGGCCCTAATTTCTAAAACTTGCTGGGAAGATGGTCAGGGATATGGAATCAGTTCTCACAGAGGGTTACATGCTGGCACTTGCCACCTGTCACTTCTTTCACAACTATTGTCACTGTACACTTATTTCTGTGACTACTCGATTCATCTCAGCCTCTCCCACTAGACTTCGAGCCCCATGAGGGGAGGGTCCGAGTCCATCACGTTGCAGGTTGTGACCCTGCACAGTTCCTGCACATACAAGGGGACTGGAAATATTTGCAGAATAAAT